CTTTGTGAGCTAACAGACCAGAAATCCGAGGGCTACAAAACTGCGTATTCGGCTTTGATACAATTCCATAGCTAGATTTATTACTAGAGAAATAAGTTTCTTGACATTTACATTTTCTGCTTTTTCGAAGTACACAACCTTATGTTTACTGAACGCACCTACTTAGGACCTAGCCTGACCAGTTATATACCATTTCGTAGAGAATTGAAAGGCGAATCTTTTGATATAAGAATGATGTCGATCGACTTTGAGGAAGAGAAGGAATTTCAAAAACACTGACAGTCTAATTTATTCTGCGCCACCCGTTATGTTTCTGGAAGGCCGATTTACTTTGGCTGAAACAGTTGTACTACGTAATGCAATGTACATTTTGTACTTGCTACGAGGATACTAGATACAAAGCACGTCATAGTTGCTTCCGAAAAATTCTTCTATGTTCAGGGTTTGTGAGAGCGGATTGACTTCTTCCATTCTGACTTCCATCGAAAGCAATTCTGTTACAGGGACGAAGAAATCCGGAAACCACGTACCGATTCTAGATGTTACCTTGACATTATAAGTTTTGGTTTGTTTGTGTTTGTTCTTAATCTTGGACAAGATGAATAATTAGCTTTCATCTTTATACAGAATATATGAAATAATAAAAATGTATCTGAAAACAGAACATACCGTTATACGATTAGGATCCGCTGAATCACTTGAACTCTTTCTTATTAACTTAAAATTGAAACACATGTTCTGCACAAACTAATTAGTGCAGGAACAATCAAGAGTCAAGTGCTCTAGTAAAATTTGTAAATTAATGACAGTACCATATTTATATCATCACGCACTGGTTTAAGGAATGCAGAAAATGAAAATCCCTACAGACCAGATTTTATGTGCTTAATTTGAATCGTAATATAAAAAACATACTAAACAAGAGTAGCTTTTACTTGCCAAATTTTTCATTTATGTTTTTATAATATAGACAAGGATTTCACACGATCGCTAGACGAACTGGAATCTGCAGTACCTATGCCATTGCATTAATATGGCTAAGGGCAAGAGCAATATTATTTGAATACCGAAGAAGCGCCGGATCTCTGTTGTCAAATTCATTTAATCCAATTTCAAGAGCTTTCCGAAAATGTTTTAATCCTTTATCGTAGTCATTTCTATGATAATATACCGAACCAATGTTGTTATGAAATTCGCTGTCTTTCGGGTGAGACTGACGCGATCCTTCAAAATAGCTGAGCGCCTCGTCATAATTGTCAGATCGTGCGTAGAAACAATCAAGGTTCGTACGAGGCGAATTTTCGTCGGATGGTTCTTTTAGCAGAAGTGGAAGCTTCTTCAATATATTTGTATCTCTCGTTCCCGTCGGTCCGGCCTGTGTACTTCGCTCTAGAGCAATCTTGTAGTGATATAGTGCTTTCTCGGGATTGTCTTTCTTGCTGTAAACCAGTCCCAGGTAATTATGAATACGAGTAATTTCAGGCGGTGTCAACGATTCATCGGTAATCAGCAGTTTATAGTAGGATTCGGCCTGATCGAATTTGCCTAATTCGGCGAAGAAAACTCCTAACGTTTGTAGAGTGATCTGAGTGTCACTGAGTTCTTTCTGACAGCGATCAACTAGCCAGTTTATATCGGCATCTATTTCGTCACTAACAGTTAATGTGATATACCAAATTTGGTTATATAATTCTTCAATCGATTCTATTCGGAAAACAGTTCCCATCGGGAAGATTATTTCATCCGCGTGAGAAATCATCGTTTGACTCGTATCGATATTGATTTCAAATAGCACAGATTCTAAATGTGATCGTCCTCGTCCATCACCAGCGTAGCTGAAAGCTCGTTCAGATGATGTTGTTGTTGAAATGAAAGTTTTGACGGCCAGGAGACCACCAATATTGTTCTTCAAACTGTTGAATTCATCAACAGTTAAATACTGTCCACGATAGACTGTGTCAATTCTCGGTGTAGACTCGGAAGACAATTTATTTATTTGATCGTGTAGATTAACAAGAAAGAATCGAAATCTGTATATTACTTCTAAGTTTTCGCTTCGAAGAGCTTTGTTAACTGTACGTTTTACCCTATTGCCTTCTTTTAACAATGGATGTATATCATCAGAGGTATAAATTAGTTCAGAAGTTTGTACGTGATCACTATCATGGATAGATGCGTTCGCTCGGCAGGCTTCAAATGCCTTGATCTTATCGATGTCAGGTGTATTGGTATTCTTCATGAATAGCGCGCTACGAAGTAATAGGCAAGAAATAAAATCGATCTGTTGTTTATCGCGACTGCGTAATGTACATGAACCAATGTTAGATACTGCGGTAATACTGGTTTCGGATTCACGCGTGTTTATATCAAAGGGCTTTTGCACCGGTCTGTTTAGGAAGGTGATTATATCAGAATTTAATTTGTTGAACAGATCGTCGTTATTATTGAAAATACCCCGAATTTTGTTATATTTATTAATCCATTCTGCGCTCTGTTCGTTAACGCTGTTTTTAGTAATAATGTAGATATATACGATTTGTATCGAATAATGAACAAGCGGCACGAAACATTCGCTAAACACGGCTGACACGATAAGAATTACTTGCTCTCGGCGGACAGCTTTCAAATATGAGGCACATTTAATAGCATCACCAAATGTTTGTAAATGATTAACGACAGGAATCGGAAAAGAAATTTTCGTAACAAAATTCGTCGGTGTGATTTCGGTCTGTGTATCAAGCCAAACAAGAGAAAACTGGTGAACAGATAGTGAAGACTTTTCACGGGTCGTGCAGTAGTCGTTAATTTCATTTTCGGAACAGGTAGCGCTATCGATGTTTATGCTATGCGTTGTCTTTGAAGATGAAGTTGACTGATTGAGATACTTTCTCTCTGCTAAAGGTTGTGAAGGACTCTTGTACTTCGGCTGGTTTAACTTTTTCCTCGCCTCGTCAAGCGCCCAGCGTGATTGACTGAAAACTTCTAAAAAATTTAAGAAAAGACGAAAAAGGTTATCACAGTAGGCTTAAAAGCGTCCGCCAGGACATCCTGTTAAATGTTCTAAAGAGTGACAAGGTTTAGGGACCATCGAGAGGGTTCAGACTCATGCTGAACTTGTCATTCAGACTTGTTTCTACGTGGAGTACAGCACAGTGATTACTAAAAAAGTTCTAATATTCTAAATCAGAAGTGACTTGAAAAACAAATCTCCGAAGATCAGTTTTCTGAAGACTTTATATGACTCACTTTCAGTCATCATATCTGAAATGCACCAGACGTGCTCAATTCCTTCGCACAAAAGCCCACAGGCCAAATGATAATTTTTCGGACTGATATCAAATTGTTTTGAATTTCCATAGATATCAAATTCTTTCGAATCTGCGTTCATGTCGTCTTTACGTCTTATACAGCCATACTTGTCACCGATACAAAATATTTTCAACGGACGTTTTCTGAGCGACGGCAGATCCTTGATATTAAAGATTCTGAGTTTAATCCTAGAAAATAAATATTCGTTTGTAAACACATGGATAAAAGGTATACGGTCATCTGAGTTTGAGTGATACCCATCGATGAATAAGAGTGTATTAGTGTCATAACATAAGAGAAGATCAACTGCACTTACTCGAAACGTCCAGATACAATGTCAGCATCAGTTAAATCAATGATATGTGGATTCTCAAGCAAAGTGGCTCTTTCGGCTGTTGCTGTTGTACTCGAAATGTTGCTATACTTTGCTATTCCTTTTGAAAAATGTTCGAAATAGAATTCCTTATACTTTTCTGTTAAAACATAAAACTGCAACGTCCATTTGTATCGCTGAAATGCAGCTGGAATTGAAAACTAAAAGAAGTATTTAGATAACTTTACAACAAATGAATACAACAAAGTGTTTTGTCTTACTGCTATCACCGGATATGCATTTCTCTGTCCATATGACTTGCCATATGATCTTGCTTTAATATAAAGACCATTGTTGCTTCCGGATGATCTAAAGTGAATGTACATAAACGTTTTTAAACAAATCGATCTATCATCGGCCAGAGGTGGCAAAATATATGCATCCAGTATAAAGTCGATGCATCTAGACTGAAAGATCGAAAGTCGATGCATCTAGATGCCTCACTAGATGTAAAGATGGAAGCGGCTCACTCTCACCTTCTCTCCCCCCTCTCCACCTCTTGTCTCTTTTCGTCTTCCATCTTTACATCTAGCGAGGCATCTAGATGCATCGGCTTTATACTAGATGCATATATTCTGCCACGTATGATCATCGGCACCAGTCTACAGCGGTCTTGATTGAAAGGTGTATTGTAGTTCATCACCGATGTATTGTAAGCTTTACTACTATCCATTTCAAAATATAATGCACTCCATTGTTCTTTCAATAAATTTTGACAGAAAATAGCTAGAGAGCGATTTTCAGTTTTAGAGAGTAGAATCTGGGGGCTATCTGTTTATGGGAAAATAAATTCAGAAATACCACCTGCAAGTGGTAAGCTTCTTCAAAACTTTTTGCAGAAACTTTCTCACCATTTTCTCATCACCAAGTTTTGGATTTTCGATTCCAAATAGTGAACTGGAGTCTTTGGATGTGGATCTACAATTCTCGACAAGTCCCAGATTTCCATCTCTTATGGTCTGAGTGGTGCGGCCAAGGCGTTCAAACACGAATTCGCAGATGACGCTTTCCCATGTGAATTGTACTTCGGTGCAATTAACCGGTATTTCGAGCACTGTGTAAACATACCAAATCTGCGAACTGTATCAAGAAGCGAAGTGCATTCAGAAACTGCTGAACGCTTTTTTGTCTCAACAGTTCGCATTTCCGAAGTGATCGCGAATTGTACATTGTTGAAAACATGTTCACCAATGTGCAGAGACGAATTCGGCAAAATTGTCTGCCTTTTTTGACGTCAGTTCAACAATGGTGCCAATGTGCCGTTTTGCACATCGTGAGTGCCAAAGTTACAACAACAATGTGCAAAATCGCATTCGTCGAACTATGCAAATTCCTCAACAAACTAAAAAAATTTAATTTTCAACTCGGAGCTATGTAACAATGTGCATTTTCTAGTCCGTGACTGTCGAAAAAGAATCCAGCAATGTGAAATTCATCGAACAATGTAAACTCTTACTGACAAATTATGAAGTTCGTACTAACACCACATGGCAAACACAACGCAGTTAATTCGTACACAAATTCTCAGAATTCTCAGGAGAATAGTCGTGATAAATATCTAAACTCAGAAAAAGTTTCCCTACAACTCTGAAAATCTCTAAACTGCGTTCACTTTCCACATTGCAGTCAGTTCGTATACAAATTCTGAGAATTAGGACGAGATTAGCCATGATAAATATCTAAAGTCGGAAAAGGTTTTCGTACGGCTCTGAGAATCTGCAAAGTGGTTGCATATTGCACATTGCAGTTAATTCGTATTAAATTGTATGAATTCGTAGATGAGTACGAATGATAAATAGCGGAAACGAAATCAGGTTCACTCGCGCTCATGTTAGACATAAAAACGAATTCGCAGTCTGTACATACGAATTGAATACACTGTGCATTTGTGCACGCAATTTGGAGGTTTTTGGACCTAGAGAAAAAATGTTTTCTCTTTTGATCTACTTTAGCGGCAACGCGTTTGCGAATTCTCAGATTTTGCACACGAATTGTTTGCGAAGCGCAAAGAGGGGGCAATTTGCAAATAGTTCGACATAGGGATAAAAAGTTTTTGAATTCTGATAGTTAGCATAGCTCTAATCTTGTATAATAATCTGGTCAACCCGCTTTCTGTGAATTCACGCGTCCACAGCGAAGTGCATTTGTGCATTAGCTGACTCCTTAACCAGTTGTATTTTCGAATTCGTAAAATGCAGAGAATTCACAGTAACATGTAATTTTGAACTTTCTGCTATTCGTTCACGCTTAGCAAGGTGCATTTACGAATTGTCTAATTCTATCATACACTTCGCATTTACGAGTCGTTCGAACATGAAAATTAGTGAGTACTATAAAACTTGGATCTAGCAATGTGCGTTTACGAAATTCGTAAAATGCCCTCAACAGTGCGCATTTACGAACTGAACGAATTAAACGAAGTAGAGTGTTTCATTCTTATAGTATAAAAGTTTCAAACCAACAGTCTGCACGGCGCGAAGTGCATTTCGTTTTTGAACGCCTTGACCGCACAATTGTATGGTCCGGGAGCTAGAGACGTTCTCCGCAGACCATACTCTCCCCAAATCTGCAGATTCTCAATAACACTGGAGACACAGGTAATCAGCTATGCTGATCATCGCGGCATTATTTATTTTCATCTTCAGATCTTCAGCTGACCTGTTTTTTCAAAAACTCTGGTTTTTGCCTGTAGCCATGTAAACTTCAAATTCGCATAACTCGCTCATTTCGGATGAGAAATGGATGAGTTATGCGAATTTGAAGTTTCACATAAACAGATAGGCCCCAGATTCTATTCTCTAAAACTAAAAACCGCAGCTCTCTAGCTATTTTCTATCAAACGTTATTGAAAGAACACTGAAGTGCATTATATTTTGAAATGAATAGTAGTGTTTATAAATGTCAGCACTGCCAGTAGACGCTGTCGCCTCTGCAGTAGTTTCTAGAGTAACTGAAGTTCGTTTTTATAGTACGATCGAGAACCTATTTTGCTGCATTGTTTAACATACCGCGATTTCGATGTATTACCAGGTGCTCCGCCGTGG